TATGTCACACAATCTCACATGCAGAATGATACAGGGATAAAGTTAAAATTCTTGCACATGGCCCAGTTCTAAGTATGGGAGTCAACATCTCGTCTATGTTGGGTCTAAATACATAAGTCACAATCTTAATGGTGGACTGGGTCTGTGCGTGAGAAGCTCGCTTTCTTCTGTGCACTAGAACTCCTTAGTAGAGTCGCAGCCTCACAGGTGGGCTGAATCTTGGTCTGAGAGTCACCAGCCCACCTGTGGACTGGATCTACATGTAACAGTCACTCTCAAGTTTCCACTGCCTCCAAATGTGACATTCAGAACCTCAAAAGTTGGCCATGTTCATGTGGCAGTATGACAGTCTTTATTGTCAAATGGGTGTGCATACAAGTGTCAAACTCTCACCTGTGCTGTGCCTTGTCAGAAAACACTTTGTAGCACCAGAGGGATTTATGCATGAGAGTCTCAATATGCTCTGAGACTTCCCTGCTGGTCTCAGAGATCTGGTATGGGCCCATGGTATGGACCCATGGTTATAATTTTTACCCTAATCTCTTGTCTCAGAGTCAACTTCTCTTCAGTTGGCTCAGTCCAAATAGAAGTATCCTCACCTGCCTATGAACTAGGTTTAGAAATGAGTCACCATCCCAACTGTAGCATATGAGAGAAACAATTCCAGCTGTGGACTATGTCAACCTGTGTGATTCAGGACCTCACCTGCGGGCTCTGTCCACCTGTAAGGGTGAAAATCCTAATGGATGGTAGGGTGAGAATATGAGAAACACAGTCTTATTTGAATGCTGGACTCTGTGGTGGCATTTTGTTCCACACTAGGGCTTTATACAATGTGTGAGAAAGTAATAATTTTCTATAACCTTCATACAAAGAGGAGACATGGGATCTTACCCATTTCTCTAATCCCAGCTAAAACAGACAGTATATTTTCTATTGACTGGTGTGTGGTATTAGAGTCATCATTGCAACTGTTAGCTGGACCAAGATTCATGTCCCTACCTGTGGGTAGGGAGCAAACAGGAGAGTCACATCACCTGTGTTCTGGGCCAGGAATGTGTCACAATCTTCCCTGGCAGAAGGGACCAGGCAGAAGAGTAATATCACCTGGGTATTTAGCCAGGAATATGTTACAATCATAATCCCCTCCTGAAAGCTGGATGCAGGGTACAGGCTGCAGAACCATGTCACCTTGGTAATGGGCCCAGCAATGTGTCAAAATGCTTTCTATGGGCAAGGCCCAATTAGGAGAGACTCATCATCTGTTTGCTGAGGCCAGCAATATGTCACAATCTTCCCGTAGGCAGGGTTCAGGCAGAAGAGAGCCACATTGCTTAGGTGATGAATGCAGAAATATGTCACCAGGTCTGCTGTGGACAGGCTCCAGCCAGCAGCCTTCCATTTTCTAGGTATCAGGCCCAGCAATATGTCACAATGCCCAAAACATGTGAGGACCAGGCAAAAAAAAAAAAAAGAGACTCACCTCACCTCAATGATGGATCAAGTGATATGTCACAATCTTCTTATTTGGCAGGTCCCAGGCAACAAAAATGTGTCGTATCTCCTAGGTGATGAATGAACAGTATCATCTAATACTCCTTGTCTTCAGGGCTCATGCGGAAGGGTCATATCACCTACTTGCTGGGTCCAGCCATATATTATAATACACAATGTATGCTGGACCCAGGCAGGAGAGGAGAGTAACATCCCCTGGGTCCTGTGTCCAGGGATACATCACAGTGCCTCCTTGAGCAGAGCCCAAGAAGTAGAGAAGAGTCACACTACTTAGGTGCCAGATACAACAATTTGCCACAATACTTCCTGAGAGAAAGGCTTAGGTGGAGGTGTCACATCACCTTAGTGAGGGAGAAAGAAATATGTAACAATGTCCCTGGTAAGTAGACCTAGAAAAAAAGAGAAGCATCACATAACATAGGGCCAGTGCCCACTTGTCTGTCACAATCACACCCGTGGGCAGGGCTCAGGCAAGAGTAGAGAGTAATATCATGTAGGTGCTGCAGCAAGCAATATGTCACAATTACCACTGTGGGCAGGTCCCAGAAAGAAAACAAGAATCACATCACCTAGGTCAGGTCATGGGCCCAGAGATATGTCACCGTGGCCCTTGTGGACAATAATCAGGCAGAAGAATGACATTGCTTGTGTGCTGGATCTAGTGATAATTCATTATCCCTTCTGTGTGCCTGGCACAGGCAAAAGAGAAGAGTCACAACACCTAGCTGCTTGACCCAGAAATATGTCACTACCTCTTCTATGGGCAAAGTCCACGTAAAACAGCAGAGTCACATCAAATAATTGATGCAGCCAGAGATATGTCATAATGCCTTCTGTTGGCAGGGCCCATGCAAGACAGTCACATCACCTAGGTGTTGGACCCAGCCTTATATCACAATACACAATGTATTCAGGGCTCAGGCAAGAGATGATAGTCACATCATTTAGGTCTTGGATCTATTGAAACATTACAATTTTTTATTGAGCAGAGGCTAAGCAGCCTAGAAGAGTCACATCACCTAGGCTTTAAGTCCAGCAACACCTTGCAATAACCCCTGAGAAGAGGGCCCAGGTAAAAGGGTAACATCATCTAGGTGAAAGGCCCAGAAATATGTCACAATTCTCTGTGTGGGTAAAGATCAGAATGAAGATGGAAGTTACATAACCTAATAGGTGGGCTGATCTATATGTCACAATCACTCTAGTGGGAAGAGCTCAAACATGAGAGGAGAGTCACACCACATAGGTGCTGCATATTTTGCAATACGGAATGTATGCAGTGCCCGGAAAGGAGAGGACAGTCACATCCCCTAGGTGCTGTGCCCGGCAATACATTACAATCTCTTCTTGGGCACAGCGCAAGCAGTACAGGAGTTATATTACCTTGCTGTTGGACCCAAAAATATGGCACAATATACCCTGAAAAAAAGGGCCAGACAGCAGTGTCACATCACCTGGGGAGGGTTTCAGAAATATGTCGAAATGCTTCCTGTGGTTAAGGCTCAGGAAGAAAAGAAGAGAAAAATAACCTAGGGGCTGGGGCCAGCCATGTGTTACAACAACCTCAGTGAGCAGGGCCCAGGCATGAGAGGAGGGTCACATAACATAGATGCTGTGCCAAGTGATATGTCACAACTCACACTGTGGACAGGTCTCTGCAATAAAGGAGAGTCACATAATCTGGTTGATGGTCACAGAGATACATCACAATGTGTTTATCTCTTGTCCTTACGGACATGAACCAGACAGAATAGTCACATCTCCACTGGGCTGTGTCCAGGGATAATTTACTCTCCCTTCTGTGATCTGAGCCCAGGAAGCAAAGGAGACTCACATTACCTAGGTGTTGGGGCCAGAGGTATGTCACAATGTCACCTGTTGGCAAGTACCAAGTAAGAGAGGAGAGTAACATCAAATAGATGAGGGGTTCAGAAATATGTCACAATTCCCCTTGTAGGCGGAATCTAGGCAGGAGACTCACATAACCTGGGTTTTAGACCTAGAAATATGTCACAAGATGCAATGTGGGCAATGCCAAGGCAGAAGAATAAAAAACATACACTCTAGGTGCTAGGTGCAGAAATATGTCACAATTTCATGTGACATTCCTGGACCTAACACCTAGGGTATATGTCTTTATTGTGACATCCTCACTCAGGTGCTTGACAGACATCTATGTCACAATTAGAGCTGCAATCAGAGCTGACCCATTTTCCTAAGCCTAGCTAAGAGACAGTATCTTTCATATTGGCTGGATGAAGTTATGAGAGTCATTGTGACTGTAAACTGAATTAAGATATATGTGACAATCCCACAATCGGGTAAGAAGGGAGTGAGCTGGAGAATCACATCACCTGGGTGCTGTGCCGGAGATATTTACAACCTTCTCTGAGGGCAGTGACCAGGCAGGAGAGTCACATCATGTTGTTGCTGGGCTGGAAGCATGTCATCATTTGTTCTGAGAGTAAGAATCAGGCAAGAGAGTCACAGTACCTGTGTTTTCAACCAGCGGTACGTTATAATCCCCTCCTGAAAGCAGGACTAAGGCAGCAGAGTCCTTTCACCTGGTTGCTGAGCCTAATGATGTGTCACAATGTCTTCTGTGGCTAGGTCCAATCAGCAAATGCACATTACCTAGTGCTGGCTCCAGTGATGTGTCACAATACTTTTTATTGGGATGGTCCAGGCAGAAGAGGAAATCTGAAACACCTAGGGGATGAACAAAAAGTCACATCTCAATAACCTTGTGGGCAGGACCTATACAGGAGAGTCACATCACCTAGCTGCTGGGTTCAGTGATATGTCACAATCCCTTCTGTGGGCTGGGCCCAAACAAGAAGAGTCAAATCCTTTGGGTGCTGGGAAGAGGCACATTTCACACCTGCAAGGAAGTCCAAGAATGAGATTAAAAATTCCACACATGTCCAAGTTCTAGGTACGAAAGTCAATGCCTCCTGTATGTTGCTTCTATATACGTGATCCACAATCTCTACAATGGACTGAATCCACTCATGAGAGCCTCAATTTTTTCTGTGTACTGTGTTCCCTTATTACAATCAGTCTCACAGGTGTGCTAGATTTTTGTCTGAGAGACACCAATCAATATGTGGACCAGATCCACTTATGAGAGTCAATTTTCCAACTTTTGACTGTCTCCAGGTATGAGATTCAGAATTTCAACAGCGGGCTGTGAAAGGATGATCATCTTTACTGTTTGCTGTGTGTGTGTAAAAGTGTCACAGTCTTACATTTGTTCAGGGCCATGTTAAGACATGTTCTGTATCACCCAAGGGCTTTATATGGTATGCATGGGAGTCACAATTTCCTCTAAATCCTTTGTGCTGGTATGGACCCGTGATAGTGTCTGTAGCTTTAAGCCCAGGTATGACAGTCAACATCTTCCTAATTGGCTGGGTCCAGATAGGAGAGTTTCACCTGCCAGAGCTGGGTTTAGAAATGAGTCACCATCGAGGCGATGAACCGAGGGACTAGGCAGAGCAGTGGAACCGCCGCCAGGTCGCTGTAGGTCCACGCCGCCAGTCGCGCTGCCAGCCCGCTCAGCGTCCGCCGCCGCCATGGGAGTGCAGGTGAAAACCATCTCCCCAGCAGACTGGCGCACCTTCCCGAAGCGCGGCCAGAATTGCGTGGTGCACTACACCGGGATGCTTGAAGATGGAGAGAAATTTGATTCCTCCCGGGACAGAAACAAGCCCTTTAAGTTTATGCTAGGCAAGCAGGCGGTGATCTGAGGCTGGGAAGAAGGGGTTGCCCAGATGAGTGTGGGTAAGAAAGCCAAACTGACTATGTCTCCAGATTATGCCTGTGGTGCCACTGGGCACCCAGGCATCATTCCACCACATGCCACTCTCGTCTTCGATGTGGAGCTTCTAAAACGGGAATGACAGGAATGGCTTCCTCCCTTAGCTCCCTGTTCTTGGATCTGCCATGGAGGGATCTGGTGCCTCCAGACGTGTGCACATGAATCCATATGGCGCTTTTCCTGATGTTCCACTCCACTCTGTATAGACATCTGCCCGGACTGAATGTGTTCTGTCACCCAGCTTTGCTTCTGACACCTCCGTTTCCTCTTCCCCTTTCTCCTCGTATGTGTGTTTACCTAAACCATATGCCATAAACCTCAAGTTATTCATTTTATTTTGTTTTCATTTTATGGTGAAGATTCACTTTCAGTCTTTTGGATATAGGTTTCCAGTTAAGTACCTGGTTAAATTAACAGCACAAGTGATAGGTTAACGTTAGAATAGGAATTGGTGTTGGGGGGGGTTGCAAGAATATTTTATTTTAATTTTTTGGATGAAATTTTTATCTATTATATATGAAACATTTTTGCTGCTGCTCTGCAAAGCTATAGCAGATTTGAGGTGCTGTTGAGGACTGAATTATTCTCCAAGTTGAGAGATGTCCTTGGGTTAAATTAAAAGCCCTACCTAAAACTGAGGTGGGGATGGGGAGAGCCTTTGCCTCCCACCCCACCCTCCCCTTAAACCCTCTGCCTTTGAAAGCAGATCATGTTCACTGCAATGCTGGACACTACAGGTATCTGTCCCTGGGCCAGCAGGGACCTCTGAAGCCTTCTTTGTGGCCTGGCTTATTTTATTATTTTTTTTTTCATCCTGTGGTTTTTCTAATGGACTTTCAGGAATTTTGTAATCTCATAACTTTCCAAGCTCTACCACTTCCTAAATCTTAATAACTTTAATTGACAGTTTCAATTGAAGGTGCTGTTTGTAGACCTAACACCCAGTGAAAGGCCAGCCATCATGACAAATCCTTGAATGTTCTCTTAAGAAAATGATGCTGTTCATCGCAGCTGCAGCATCTCCTGTTTTTTGATGCTTGGTTCCCTCTACTGATCTCAGAGTTTCCTGGCTTTTCCTCCCTCAGCCCCTTCTCACCCCTTTGCTGTCCTGTGTAGTGATTTGGTGAGAGAAATCATTGCTGCCCCTTCCCCCCAGTGCCATATATGAGTCTCAAGTTTTATTATTGCAATAAAAGTGCTCTATGCCGGCTTTTCTCAAAAAAAAAAAAAAAAAAGAAAGAAAGAAAGAAATGAGTCACCATCACAACTCTGAACAGAAATTTACAAATGAATGTCACAATTTTCACTGTGGACTGCATCCGTGTGTGAGATTAACTGGGCTTTGTCCATGTGTGAGGGTGACAATCCTAATGGTTGTCAGGGTGAGCACATAAGAAACAGTCTCATCTGCACGCTGGGCCTTGTGATGACACACTCTCTACCACCCAAGAGCTTTATACAATATGCGAGAGAGCGGTAACCTTTTATAACCTTCGTACAGAAAGGAAACCCAGGATCTTACCCATTTTTCTACACCTAGCTATGAGAGAGAGTATTTGTCCCCTTGGCTGGTTCAAAATGTTAGAGTCATTATTGCACTTGTGCACTGGGCTATATATAAAATCCTACCTATATGTGGGGAGCAAACAGAAGAGTCACATCACCTAAATGCTGAGTCAGGGATATGTGACATTCTTTGCTGAAAAGAAGGGGCCAGGCAAAAGAGACACATCACCTGGGTTCTCAGCCAGTGATATGTTACAATTTCCTACTGAAAGCAGGGCACAGCCAACAGCAACACATCACCAGGATTTAGGGCTCAGTGTTATGTCACACTGTGACCTTTGGGTAATACCCAGGCATGAAAGACACATCACCTGGTTTCTGGGTTCCATGATATATAGCAATCTTTCCTACAAACAGCATGAAAGCAGAGGAGTAGAGTCACATCTCTTAGGTGATGGATGCAAAAATATGTCACAAGGCCTCTGGTGGGCATAGCCCAGGCAGGAATCTCTCATTCAGTGTAAGTTGGGATCCGTATTAGATCACAATATTCAACATATGCAGGGCCCAGGCAAAAGAGAAGAGTTACATTACCTAGGTGCTCAATCCAGTGATATGTTACAATAACCTCTTTTTTCCTTTTCTTTCTTCGTCTTCTTTTTTTTTTTTTGGCAGAGCCCAGGCAGAAGAGAAGAGTCACATCATCTAGGTGATGACTAAAAAGATATGTCATTATTCCCCTGTGGGCAGTGGTTGTGCAGATAATTCACCTTGTATGTGTTGGACTCAGCAATATATCACAATGCCTGCAGCGCTTTGGAAGGAGAGGAGAGTCATATCACTTAGGTGCTAGGCCCAGCAATACATCTCAATCACTTCTTTGGCAAAGCCCAAACGGTAAAAAAGAGTCACATCACGTAAGTTCTGGGTATAGCAATGTGTCAAAATACCCCCCGAGAGGAGGACCAAGGAAAGAGAGTCACTTTGGTGAGAATATCAGAGATATGGGACAATTCCATTTTTGGGTATTCACAAAAAAGAAGAAAGTCCCATAACCTAGGAGCTGGGCTCTGCTCTATGACACAATCACCCTAGTGGGCAGGTCCATTAAAGAGAAGACTGTCACATCACATAGGTGCTGGGCAAAGTGATAGATCACAATCCCCATGGTGATAGGCCCAGAGCCATCTCACAATAACCTCTTTAGGGAGAGATCAGGCAGAAGAATTACATCATTTGTGTGCTGGGCCTAGTGATAAGTCACTCTCATTTCTGTGGACATGGCCCAGGCAGAAGAGCACAGTCACATTACCTAGATGCTGGGCCAAGAGATGTCACAATCTTTTGTGTGAGCAAAACCAAGGTAAAAGAGAAGAGTAACATCAGATAGTAGGTGTTACCAGAGATATGTCACAATGCCCCCTACATGAGAGAACCAGGCAGTCAAAACACATCACTTGGTTGCTTAACCTAGTGATATGTTACAATCTTTCCTGTGGGCATGATGTAGGCAGAAGAGGAGAGTCATATCTCCTATGGGGTGGATGCAGAGATATGTCACAAGGTCTCCTATGGCCAGGGTCCAGACGGAAGCCTTCCATCCACTAGGGTTTGGGTCCAGTGATATGTCACAATACCCAAATTATGCAGGGCCCAGGCAAAAAAGGAAAGTCACGTCACCTAGATACTGGGTCCAATGATATATCACAATTTTCCATTTTGGTAGGGCCCAGGCAGAAAGCAAGGTTATATCACCAAGGTGATAAATAAAAATACATGTCATAGTTATGTGGACATGACCCATGCAGGAGAGTCACATCACCTAGGTGTTGGACCCAGAAATATGTCACAATATATAATGTATACAGGGCCAAGGCATGAGACGATAGTAACTTCACTTATTTGTTGAGCCAAACTATACAATCGTTTTTTGGGCAAGGCCCAAGTAGTAGAGGAGAGTCACATCACCTCGGTGTTGGGTCCAGCAATGTGTCACAATACCTGCTGAGGGGAGGGTACAGGCAAGAGAGCCATGTCACTTAGGTGAGGGGCCCAGAGATATCTCACAATACCCTCCGTGGGTAGAACTCAGGAAAAAGAAGAGAGTCACATAATCTAGAAACTGGGCCCCGCCATATGTTACAGTCACCCCAGTGGACAGGTCGCAGGCATGAGGGTAGAGTTTCATCACATAGGTGCTGGGCCAAGCCATTTGCCACAACCTTCACTGTGGACAGGTCCCAGGAAAAAGAGGAGAGTCACATCATTTAGGTAACAAAACCTGAGTTATGTCACAGTTACTTGTTTGGGCAGAGGTCAGAAAGAAGTATCACACAACCTGTGTGCTGGACTAAGCAATACATCATTCTCTCTATTTTAGGCTTGGCCCAGGCAGGAGAGAAGAGCCATATCACCTAAGCTCTGGATTCACGGATATGTCCCAATTTCTCTTTTGGGCAATGCTCAGGCAAGAGAGCAGAGTCACATCAAGTGGTTGATGGGCCCAGTGATATATCATATTGCCCCCTGTGGACAGGCACTAGGCAGGAAACTCACATCACCTTGGTGGTAGGACGAGGAATATATCACAATACGTTTTGAGAGCAGAGCTAAAAAGGTAACACCATCTTGGTGTTGACTGCAGAAATATCTTACACTTTTATTTTTTTGTGGGCAGAACCTATAAAGAAGGGAAAAGTTGGCCAGGCACGGTGGTTCATGCCTATAATTCTAACACTTTGGGAGGCCAAGGTGGACAGACCACCTGAGGTCAGGAGTTTAAGACCAGCCTGGCCAACATGGGGAAACCCTGTGCCTACTAAAAACACAAAAATTACCTGGGCATCCTGGTGGGGACATGTAATCCCAGCTACTCAGGAGGCTGAGGCAGGAGAATCACCTGAACCTGTGAGGCAGAGGCTGCAGTGAGCTGAGATTGCACTACTGCATTCCAGCCTGGGTGACATAGCGTTACTGCATCTCAGAAGGAAAAGGAAAAAAGAAAGAAAGAGAAAAGTCACATAAGCTAGGCACTGGGTGCAGTTATATGTCACTGTCACCCCTTTGAGAAGGTAACAGTCAAGAGAAGAGTCACATCACCTCTGTGGTGGACACAGAGATACCTCACAATGCTCTCTGTAGGCAGGGCCAGAACACAAGGGTAACATAACCAGGGTGTTAGAACACGCAACATGTCACAATGGCCGATACGGGCAAGACACAGTCAAGAGAGTCACATAACCTGGGTGTGGGACTCAGTTATATATCAAAATGCCTCCTGTGGGCAGCAACAAAGAGGGAGAGGAGGTTCACATCACCTGGATATAAGGCCCAGTGATATGTTACAATCCCCTGTGAGCAGTGCTAAAGCAGAAGAATAGAGTAACATCACCTAGGGGCTGAGTCCAGTGATGTCACAATTCCATCTGGGCTGGGCCCAGGCAGATACGTCAAATCACAAAGGTTCTGTGAGGTGCATATATCACAATCACACCTGCAGGAAGGTCCAGTAATGAAATTAACAATCTCACACATGTCCCGGTTCTAGGTATGAGAGTCAATACCTGGGTGTTGGATCCAAATAGATTAGTAACAGTCTCAACAATTGACTTGATTCATGTGTGAGATCCTAGTTTCTATTTGCATTACTATTAATA